AAGGTATCAGGTGATAAATAAGTTTTTATATTCTTATTTGTTTCAAATTTGTAGATGGACATACACAAGCCAAATTCCCATTGAATTAAATACAAAAGCAAATTTCATCTAAATATTTATTTATCAAAAATCTTCTTGAAATTTACACATTAATTTCATGAATCATGCAAGATGGAAAAGGGTGGCCATTTGAAGCTGTTTACACCTATAAACATGGATGGCTTTGCTGCACATTTGACTAACCATCAATAAGAGAATGTCATGACATATTACTGTTTGAAATAACAGGATGGTGTGGATCATGACACATTGTGGAATGTAGCATTAGACCAAGTACACCAGCTCTATTTGTCATGGCTGTTTTAACATTGCGTTCTTGTTCAAACAATTCATCCACTTGCAGCCACTGTAAAAAGGAAGAAAAACACACAAAAATGATTCTATTATGTGCAATGTATCAATTACGCCATGATTATTAATAACCAGCAACATTTTATCAGCTCTGCTGTCGACTTTGTCAAGCGGAGCTTATCATATGAATGATTGTTTGTCATCTGTGTCAAATTTTTTGACTTCTTTTTGAAAACTACAAGCATGATTGCTCTGATACTTGATGTATATGTACCTTGGGTAGGCCTCTCTTAGATTTGTTCATTTTATGATGATATCTTCAATTCTCCAATTTTGATGAATATTTTGGGTAAAAAGTGATATTGTCAACTTCTTGTTAAAAACCAATAGTCTGATTGCTTTGATATATTATACATATAGGTATTTCAGGTGGACCTCTCTCAGATTTGTTCACTTCAAGATGATATATTCAATTCTCTAATTTTGATGAATATTTTTGTCATATTTGGTAAAAATTGATATTTTCAACTTGTTGAAAACCGGAAGTCTGATTACTTTGATCTTGTACATATAGACAGTACAGTTCATTTCTTCAATTGAAATGTGCATAGCTAACAGCGGAACTATCTCAGTCGAGAGGCTGTTTGTTTACTATATAATTGACTCGAGAAGCAATTACTTACCTGTCTGACTCTTTCTAAGTCTATCTGTGCTCTTCTGAGTTTTTCCCAACCATGGTGTTTGCTACATTTTCGCTTAGATGCTCTGCAGTATTCACCAGTTTCTTCACATTTATTATTCATCAGTGGACAAGCACATGCTTCATCTGTCGCTATCTGTAGAAATGCATCAAATCTTGGTCAGTTTCATCACATTCATCTTTTCTACGATATGTGTATCCTATCACTGTTTTCATTCGCTTGAAATGTGCACACGTACATAAAACACATACCTTTGGTTCTTTGGTGTGTTCTGGACAGAGTACCTTCAGTCTTTTACAGTAAGTATTCTGTAGTGCATTATAGTAATCACAGAACATGGACTCACTGCAACAAGGAGAATACAGATGTATGAAAATACATTATGTGGGTGCTGAAACATTGTAGTGCCTAATTCCAGCAGTGTTCATGAACTACATTAGTTACGAGCAACATGATCAATACCTCCGCTTGTATTCAGACAGCTACACTTTGGAATTAATTACTTACCCAACTATTCTTGTTTGGAAACATGATCCAAATGATGTTTGACTTTCATACTGCAAAAGATAAGGTAGAAAGTACACAATGTGGAAATCATGCAGGTACACTTCAATACATTTAAAGATTCACTTGCGTAGAATATGGATAAAAAATTTTATTAAAAAATCAATGAAAACAAAAGAAAGAACTCCCGTGTGGAGAAGTTTTGATGTGTATCAGATAAATAAGATAATCCCTTAAACACTATTATTAAGGTGTGAAATGTAATTCAATGAATGAAATTAAGGACACTTAGATAAATAAGATAATCCCTTAAACACTATTATTAAGGTGTGAAATGTAATTCAATGAATGAAATTAAGGACACTTAGTGATCATACCTTACTGAAGCATTTTTCCATATGTTTAAGGGCTGCTCTAGGGTGAACAGGATGGCCACAACTGACACAATAAATACTTAAATCAGCCTCATCATTTTCTGAATCAATATTCTGAGAAAAAATACAAGTACATTCCATGTTACTGAGTTATCATTGTCCAAAAGTCATTATTTATAAACTTTTTAACAATGAGAAAAAACATGTTATATGTATAGCTTCAGTATATCTTAAATGAAAAATAGAAAACGCAGCTTGCCATTGTGTTAAGAAGTTAACAGGCAGGTGAACAGACATAACCTAACTGTAAACCTAATGTAGATGCATTAGTAGTTGTTTTCAAACCCAAACTGGTAACCTACCTCCTGACCAACTTGAATACTTAATGATTTCCCCTTCTCAATAATATCATTGAGCTCAGCAATATTCTTATCAAGCTCTGCAATCTTGGCATACGTCTCTTGTTGCTCTCTTCGAATTTTCTCCAGCGCTTTTTTGTTCTGTTCCTCGGCAACACAGGGGCTCTGTTGCCATTCACGAATCTGCTGAGGTAGCATCTGATAGATACGACTACAAACACACGTATACACAAAACATGAATAAGGCAGTGTAATCATCCTGAGCAAAACTTGATAAATCATAGAAAATTTGCATATTCAAACACAAAATAATAACAAATTTGTAACATTTATTTCCTGTCACTCGCTGGGAAAGGTGATTGGAGTCCATGCAATGGTTGATTTTGTAACATGTTGACATTTTTTTATTTCAGAGTGTAAATCTATTGTCATGTTGGTGTTTATTGACACAATCTTGTTAGGAAATTGATAAGAACTAAAATAAAATTATATAGATTTATCAACTTACCTTGTAGCTCTTTTGATACCACAGTCATCAGAGCAGTATTTGCTGTTATTTCTTGCAGCATTGACACAACCAGGACCATAACATTGTCTAGGTTTTTCATTCTCTTCTCTCCTCGTCTTCTCAATATCATCTTCCAAATGCTTCCTCTTTCTTCGTTCTGCAGAGCCTCTTTTGCTCTTAGACTAACAATGATAAAAATTTGACATTATGACTACAATGAGTTTGTTTTCCTATTATCAGCCCTTCATAGCTAATTTTGTCTGAAATTCACACACTTGCATAAACCAGTATAACAAGAAGTTTATTGTCACGACCTCACAAAACTTTTAAAAATAAACGCCGCCACATTAAAAAAAAGCAGATTGTATATGTTAAAACCCCCACCCCAAAAAATAAAGCTCATATACACACTAGATGATTTCAGTATTACCTTTCTCTCTTTACTTGTTGCTTGATTCACTGACTTGCTTTTCTCTTTTTTCTTTTCTGGTTTCTCATATACTCTTTCAATATCAACAGTGCTTCCCAGCTCATCCTGGATATGCATACACATGAATGATAGAGAAGTAAAGTATAGAAGCTTTATACACAATAGTTACATCATTTACTGAATTCATACAAAAAAACAGTATAGATAACTGATGACTGTTGGTATGCATGAACGACAACCAAATTATATAAGCCTTTTATAATATATATTTGGCAATACATTTCAATACCAATTTGGCACCATGTAAATACGTAAATGAAGAAATTTACAGCGAAAAAATATTATAAAAAAAACAGCCTCAGGGCCTAAACCATGAACATAAGAAATAACTCCTTACCACAGTATCCAAGGGAGGAAATTGAAAATGAGATTCATTTTCAGACTCAAAACACATTGATGGTGGAGGTGTAGATGCATCATCTACTTTGAATTTATCTCCTCTTAATAGTTTCTATAAATATAATGAACATGTATAATAACAATTCAGCATTGTTTTGTGATAACTTGCATTCCATTTTTTACGTGGTTACAACACAGTAATTCAATATTTGGGTAAAAATGACGAAAATTGGATAAATTTGTGCCATTGAATTGAATACTTACTCTAGAGCGAAATATACACTGTCGAAACCGACACTTCTGGCGAATTTTGTTAGGACCACCAAATTTACGCATATCCTGTAAATTTAACAATAAGCCTTAATTGCATCATTTGTGGTTCAACAAAAAGTAAAGCTAGGAACAAATTCACAAGACAATCAAGCAGTGCTCTAAAAACAGACAAAACCGGGTTTTATTAGCAGAAAAATTCACACTATTGTTTACACCATTTTTCGTACTTGTAACATGAAATATGATTGATGTAAAAATTGAAACATTACTTTAATTTTCATATGAGTGTACCATGTACCTTCTTAACCCTTTGATTGCAATCACTTTCCCCACCAAAATTTTCATGCAACATTTCACACACTTTAAAAATAAATTTCTATTATTTTTTTCTCTATTTATTTATTTCAGCATGTACATTTATTTGTTGAAAAGCAACAAACATTAATTTTTATCATTCAACGAGCTACATGTCATAATCAAAATTGTTGAAAAAAGTATGGAAAATATAATGTAGGTATATTTTGTGAAATCAGTAAGCATGTCCACAAACAGTAAAATTTCTTAAACTTACTAGACAAAAGTCACACTTCCCACAATCTTCAGTCCGAACACATGCTTCACATTCTCCACAACGACGGGTTGACCTTGTTGTATGTTGTTTTGACTATAAAAAAAATATTTTGAAAAAGTTACATATACAAAGACTTTGCCATCAAAAGAGAGGGACTCCTACTTTGGAACAAGAAAGATTCTCGTTTGTATTATTAAATACACACAGAATACATATTCATCAATCTCTCTTGACGTATCATATCCAGTTCACAAACAAAAACATTATTCAAATCACTTTACACCCTGTGAAAAATATAGATTCTGGATCATTATTTAATTGACAGCAATTGAAATACCAGATGAAATTAATAACTAACTGAAATTCTATTTACAAAAAGTTTTTACCTCACTTACATATCTGTCACAATCACTGGAATCAGATTTCTTTTCCTTGTGCTTTTCTTTTTTCTTTTTGATTTTATATTTAACTTGAAGACTAGGGTTTAACTCTTAAGAAAGAAAAGTATTTTGATATTTGGTAAAATTTATTAAGAGAGGTGGCCCTATCTAGCCTTGAATCCAGCCATTCCGAGTACACATCCAAGAATGGTTTGGTGAATAGTCAGCACAGAATTCTGTATCACCACTGATTGGCTGTCTCCATGACTTCAGTACATTGCATACATAGACTAACCTGTAGGGTAAGGCCCAACCACAACTGTTCAAACTGAATCATTAGTCTATTACTCATACAAGTCATTGTCATGAAAAACAAAATGGCCTTCTGTTGGCGCATATGTAAGACATTACGTATTGTCTTCATGTTAAGTTTGAATGAAATCCGTCAATGGGTGTCCGAGATATAGCTCTGGGCGTACATATGGATGGACGGACGGCCGGAACGAACCCAAATTAATAGTCCCCGTCCGAACAGGAACTAACAAGTCTCTTGATAAATGGCATCTAATCTAGTCTTAAAGCGAGAGGGTCGTCACCTGTGCACATTCGGGAATTGAGTCCCAAAGGCTCATGGGTAGATACTTGTTTGTAAACAATGACATGCTATGGCCATCTGACGCATACGCAGGTGACAACTTCCCCGCTTTAATCGAACAGTATTCACATGCACAAACCTGCATTTATCTACTAACTACACTGAAGCAATGACATGCAAATGATATCTGACAATTCTGGTAGTGTTGAGTCGTATCTAACTTACTGGGGGGGTAATCTACTTTATAATCACTGAGCTTACCCATTTTATGAACTCTGAAGGCATGCAAGACAAACCGGACTTACCTTTACATGGTGGACAATACCATTTTTTTATTCCCTTTGATGCATGCTCCGTTATTTGAACACAGTCACCATGGTACCATTCATGACAATTATTACAGTATCTACAAGACAATTATATTCCAATGTTAAAAAGTTGCTCTCTGAGATACCATGATTACCAGGTATACCGAGGACTTATTTACAATGTGATGAAGATCCCATTAAAGCTGAAGTGCATTGCACAGGTTAAATTATCAAAAGACTGAGGTACAAAACTAGAAATACTGATGCAAATGATTCTGCAAAAGAAGTGGTATAGTACACAGCGACAATTTGATTGGCAAAAACAATTAGTTAAATCATGGAAGGTAAAAAGAGAGGAGATAGGACGACTTTTAATCCGATTTATTTCTTTTGTTTCAAGCTGACAATATCGCCTTATTGCTATTGTTTATATTTCGTTTTACCCCGTCACCAGTGCCGCTTATTTACTCAGCGAAATGGGATGAACTCACATTTTTCGTGACTGAAAAAAAAAATCACCGTCACGAGTGGCACTGTGCATCAGCGAAGAGAGTGTATGCGCAGTAAGGTTCATGTGACGTCATAGGTCATTGACAAGGCCTGACACCGGAAACGAAACACTCATCAGTTGTTTTCCAGCGTGAGCGGATGATACGCTGCTCGGTCTCTGCACGTAAACTTGTTCCATTTTTAAAGACGAAAAAACTACAAGCGCTGTTGTCTCCCGAAGCTCAAGTGGGACTTTATGTCAGGAACTTTCAAGAAAGCTTTGTCTTGTTTGTATGCGGGGATATGCGATGGTGAAAAAAACAAGATTTTTTCACAATAGTTTCGCCATTTTGTTACCGCCTTGACAGAAAGACATTTATTTATTAACACAACATCCCCGGAGGGAATGAAAAGGGTTACAAATCAGATATTAGTAAAATTAAAATAATAATAACACAACAAATATACTTATAAATACGTTGTGTGTGTGATCATATGGAAGGCGGTGCGATGTTAGAACCCTGGTGTGATCACGAACAGTTATTGTTGTGTCAGTTTTCTGATATGAGCATATAAATACATATTTTTCATTTCATTTTAACGATTTTTACAGTTATTGTCCGCGATTGAAATACTCAAATAGGGAAAGATGTTGGGTTTTGGTTATGTTGCTGTCTTGCTTGATAGTTTTACTGGTGCAGCAAGATTTGTTGTCATGTTTGAATTGAGCCAACCCGAATATTAAATATTCACGTAATCGCATTACGGAATTGTTTACCAAGTAAATAAATCGAAACGATCATCGAACATGGGAGAACAATAGCGTCCTATCTCCTCTCTTTTTACCTTCCACGGTTAAATCATGGTCATTTCTTTTAATACATGGGAAAAATCATGAAGGAAAAAATCAGGTGGGTTCACAGAAAAAAATCATAGTGGGTGGAGTAAATTTTGTAAGTTGAGTTATAGTATTTAATACTATTAAATACTATTATAGTATTTATTTATTTATAGTATTTATAGTATTTAATGAAGAACTAAAGACAGTTTAAATGAATTCAGACATCTACATATAAATTGATCGTTCAGTATTTGCAATTTCTTTAAAATAAAAGGGCAGATTGTGGGCGAGTCATGACTAACATGAAGTTGATCAAACAGTGTGACAATAATGACGTCACTGTCACTGACTAAACTAAATGGGCATCGTCTGGCTGATGTGGGGATTAACACCTTTAGACTATAGCGTTTCTTAACCGATGTTGCAGGACTGTGCTCTAAATTACTTGACAGACAGTAATTGATCAAACTAAGACTGGTTAAATTCCTTCAAATGGGGTTTAGATGGTCCCTATTAACTTTCTTGAATTTGTTGTCACCTGTGACCGAGTGGTAATTTTCACAGATCTAGCTATATTTTTCTCATACTCATTTTCATCATTCTCATGTTTTTTACTAAGTCTCACTGTATATTAGATACTAGTATTTTCACATTCACATCCTTTATTTTAGCAATAATATGCACTTTCCTTTCAGCATTACTCTCAGGCACATTAAATATCACCACATTCACATGGAAAACCTTCAATAAACTAAAATTGTAATATGATAACATCATGCTTACATCATGAATCTGTCCACCTCGCTCGACTTGCACAAGCAGTAAAGTGTGGGTTCTCCTTGTGTTTGTTGCTGCTGGCTGTCCTTCTCGAAGAAGGTCATGATTGATGCGACCTTGGCCTGTCTTTCTGGTAAAACGAATGCCTTGGCAACGTCGGCTTGCTGTAAAATTGAAGAATATAGATTGTAAAATGGCTCATGTAATGTACGATCGCAGTACATGTATGTATACATAGGAAATGAGTCAAGTCGTGAACATTTCAGCATCGTGCATGTTCTCGCGAGATTCAAAGCCAATATTTTGAAAAGTAGATAATTAACTTCGCACAACTCACCGAACCTGACTCGCTGTCACTCATATTAGATGTTTTTAGTAAAAGAAAATGTAGCGAAGAAGCAAATAACAAAAAATAACCAAGAGGCGTTTGAAAAATTAAAAGTATTCAGACACATAAACGCAGCGAAGAGGTAAATCTGTCGAGTCGGCCTTTCTTCCTCTCAAACAACGCTCACTGACTGTGTAATACGTCATCGGTAGTTGTGTTGTTTTGGGTCAAAGGTTACCACACATGCAAAGGTCAATTCTTCTAGAACATGTGGAAATCCGTGAGACCGCTTGGAATTTCAGCTATAAGAGGTGAGTTAGTCTAAAGCATGAACCTATTAATGACGATTCGAATATATAAGTATTAAAAAAAGTGACCTGTTGGTCGAAAATTGAGGTGAGTTGGAAAAATGTTCGACCTCGAACGAATGCATCTTTTTTTTATAGCGGCCACCACGGGTGCATCAAAGTTTTCTGGTAACTTGGTGATCGCAGTACATGCATGCATATGTACGCTGTATTAACTATTTCATCCAATTATTAAATCCCATTTACTTATGACATAACTACAGATGTTTAACCTGATGTAATACATAAATGCACATTTTTCATTAGACAATCACAATATGACACAATATCATATTTTCAGATCGCAAGCTAGTTGCATGAATTTATAATAATTAAGTGATGATCACAATTTAATGATTGCATATTAGTATATGGATGATACATGTATATGCAGTATAAGGCCATCAGTTAACCAAATGTTCAGTAAACTTTTGCACCCCAAAATAAATTTGAATTTTCTGTTCAAACAATTATAAAACCATGATTCCTATCGTATCCTAGTAATTCACACACTTGTAAAAGGAATAGTTTTCACAACTACAAGTTTTTATGGTATTCAGTACATAGCACTTGCACTGCTTTATCTTTCTTGGACCAAGCGATTTTAGTACAAATACAAAGTGGATGAACTAACAATGTATCCCCAATACTAACACTCAATTTTTTTCTTGTCAAAGAGAAATTTGGATAATTTTGTGTGTGCATATTGAATTTTGATGTTATTTACATTCTATTTTTCTGGCACAAGTTTTTTGCAGACGCTCACAACCATGCATCTGTAAGCACCAACAAAGTAGCATCCACTCAGCTGAACAGGAACAGAAACAGCCATGGCATCTGCTAAGTGCTGTGTGTCTGGAACGATATCCAGTAATAACACAAAAATTAAATGAAATTGAAACACGATATCAGACTGTAATGGACCAAATAGAATTTGAAAAGAGTGTTTTAGCTGACCATGAAGTACAGTTACGAGAAGACAGGTGAGAAAAAATAATCACAGAGAATAGCTTTTCAAAGCAACATTGTTGCCCCATAACTGGATATTAAGCAGTGACAAGAAAGAAACCTTGAAACATTTTCATAATAATTGCTATATCAACAAAACAAGTATATTGTCTGTAAATATGAGTTTTGATTAATAACAATGTTATTATTATTATAGTTTATATGTATATGCTTACATTATTTTCTGAATGTTTAATTTTTCCTGTAATAATTCAAATCTATCTATAAATGTTATTATTAATATGACCCACTAATGTTGTAAAGCACCAAATGTACCGATATGTGTCTGGTAGGTGAAAATTGTGTATGGTACCACAAAACAAAATGACGTGCATATATTATTATGTATGAAAAACATTACCAAAGAATGACTGAGATACATATTTCTCAGTTGTCACGGAAAAAGGAATATTTATGATTTATAATAATTTTTCAACATTTCATTTTCATTCTTTGCTAATTATATATCAGTGAAAGATTGGCACGAATGCAGAGTGCAGAATACGATGAGGATGAAGAAGAAGGTGAAGCTAGAGTGATAACAGCTGCTGATTTAGAAGATTTAGGAACTGAAGAACTCAGCCATTTTACACCAGCTAGTAAAACTACAGGTAATAAGCCACTGACAATGACATAGTCCCTGTTCAGTTTTTAGTAACTGTGAATTATGAAATTCATAAAATGCAAAGTAATTTATTAGTATGTAACGATTCATAAATGAATTTAGAAAGACATGTCAAGGCAGAATGGTGAAGACTTATTGACTGGTCACTGGCTAATATTATGTAAAAGCTGTGTTAAGATTCATATGAAAACATCATTTGTAAATGGTGCCATAATGTTTATGTTAATTGGGAGACAACATTATTGCAATTCCAAATTTTGATAACGCAATCTGATTCAGATGAATTCAGTTTGGAGTATGTACATCTAAAAATGCCTTGAACCAAGTGAAAAGCTAGTTTTTATATTAGTCACATGTTTGAATACTGTAAAACACCTTATTTTCGCTTGGAATTAATTTTCGCTGAAGGAATGATTCAATGAAAATAAAATCCAGTGAATATACCTTTTTTCTATATTTTACATTCAACTCATCCAAAATCAGTGAAAATAAATTCCATACAAAACACCCAAAAAGTCTTTACAGTGAAAATTAATTCCAGCTAAAATAAAGTATTTTACAGTATGCTATGGTATATCATATTGGAATTTGCCATAATCAAAAAAGGTGTCAATAGAGTTCCAGAAAATACGCTGGTGCAGCATGTGCTTCTTAGATAATGCATTCATGAACTTGATGTTGAATTTTGTACCAACTTTGAGTAAAATCAGTCAAGTTACATCAGAGAATGGCAATGGCAATTGAAAAAAAAATTTACATGACCACGAGTCGAGCATTTCAAATCCAATCACAAAACAAAGTGGCAGGCTTCAGTAACCCACCATGTATGATATTCATACCATGTTTAAATTACATTGACTCAAGTATGCATCAAAAACAGTTTTATAGGACAAGTTCAAATTTTGTGATTTTAGTTTTGTTCAATGAAAATGGCTCCAGTTGATAATATTTTAGTGAAATCCAAAAATAATTAGAAGCTTATGCAAAATATTATGTCTTGCGTTCATACCAAATTTAAACAAAATCACTATCTGGTAGAAGACTTAAGTAATTAATGAATTACTTATGAAGTACATAATGAAATTTCAATTACTGAATTACATATATGACATTTATACATAGGTTACAAGAAACATTACATAATTATTGTCTACTGTATTAGACTGATATCTTACATGTATGTTGTTGCTATGGTAATAATAAGTTTACATATTATAACATATGTAACATGTTTCAGGTACTTAAAACGCTTGTGCTTCTTTTTTTCAGAAAGTGATGAAAAAAATGATTTGAAATCATTGGAAAGAAAATTATCAGAAAAGTTGTATCTTTTGGTCAAGTGTAAACTTGGCAAAAACTCTGTATGGCTTTTACCACAAGGGAGAAGAGAAGATGGTGAATCAATGAGAGAGGTATGGCATTGTGTGCTAAACACACAATAGAAGTCTTTGCAGTTAGTGTGTCTGTATGTGTGTGTTAGTGTGTGTCTGTTCACCTGTTCCACTGATATCTCAAAAACCATATGTTTGCATAATTATTATTCAATTTTGGCTTTTCTGCTAATATTTCAAGTACTAAACATTACATTACAATGGAACTTAGTACATAGATGCTCTAGGACTACCGGTATGCACAGTTGTACTTAGTTTTGAATAAAAATCAGTGCTTATTAATCACCTAATTTGCATATTGATTAGTACATTTTTGGCTTTTCTACTGATATCTCAAGTACTGATCATCATCACATTTCAATGATTTTTGGGGCATGGATTCTCTAAGACAATGCTCATACCTTTTAAGTCCCCGTTCGGACGTAGTCCGAAAACGGGGACTTATGTTTTGCCCTGTGTGCGTCCGTGCGTCCGTGATCACCTGTGTTTCGAACATGCATGGACCAATTGAGTTCAAACTTCACTCATACATCACACATTATATGGGACATACGCACATGCATTTTTTTCATGATCCGATTAACATTAGCCGAATAGCGGCCATTTTAAGGCAGAAAATGCATCAAAATCGCACATTTTCACCATTCTGGACCCGGATCTCAGTTTTGCATGGACGGATTTTGTTCAAATTGAAACTGAAAGTGGTCTGAAATTTCGGTCATGATCTGCTTTGAATGTATATGTCACTCAAATATGAACGGAACGGGGACGTGTCATTGACAATGACTTGTTATTTTTTGTTTCCATCTGTGCATATTAATTACCTAATTTGCGTGATAATTTACTTTTCATCTTTCCATTAATCGTCATATTTATAATGAAACTTGTTACATATGTGCCCTGGAACAATACACAGACTGATTTAGTTTGGGGTTGAAATCTATGCATAACAATTGCTTAATTTGCATAATACTCACTCAATTTTTTTTGAAAAAAAAACATTTGGTTGGTATATTAATGCCAAGTGTGTGGAGTCTGTCATTTGAAATCATAACTCAAAGATTTGGTTATTCTGAAATCATATCAATAAAACACTTTTATTCAATATGAGTATCAGATGTATGTATGAAGTTTCAAGTCAGTCGGTTCAGCCATTCTGTAAAGGGAAGTACGTGCCATAAAAAATTCAGATTACCTAGACCTTCAGAAAAGGATCAAATTCCTGTTTAATTTCCAAGATGGCTGCCAAACCAGTCAATCAATCACAATTCTGAAAGTTTGGTGCTGTAGTTCCCAGTGTTTAGGAAGTTTCAAAAGTCTGTTAAGGTGGTTTAGGGTACAGTAAAAGTACAAAGAAAATAGTGTCCAAATGGACTTAGACCCTAAAAAGCAAGCCATCCCTTGTAAAAAAAGATTATGTTCATAATAACTTCAGGTTATTCCGATATCAATATAGCACATAAAAACAAGAGTAATTTGACAGATGGTTATAGAGGGCACTATGCTAATCACCTGTAATAAATTCCTGTCCCAGGTCTAAACTAATTTGACATTATAACATGCATGGATTTTTTTAAACAAGGGAACAGGGGCGCAGCGCCCTCATGCCTCGGCCATTCGCCCCTTACCCTGGGGAGCAGATCCTCTGGCAACCTTAAAATTCTAAATGACCAGGGATCACATGTAGCCAGTCTTCAGCAGTGACCTGCCTGATAGTAATTTTGGCCCCAAGAAATCCATAGAATGCTCCATTTTAACTTAGAATTATCAAAAACTCCACACCCTGGTAGGCAGAACCCTATATCCCTCACTTGGTGGCGCCTCTGAATTGCAGTGCTCCCTCTTGCTGGTTTTTTTTCCAGAAAAACCCCTGACATGCCTGTGACAAGCAATAGTTAAATTATTGATGTGTTTTTTTTTTAAAAAAAACAAAAAACTGATAGATACATTTGTATTTGTATATGTACATGTGTATGCTATATACACATATACATGTATGTATGTATGTATGTATGTATCACTGGAAGCAACAACTAAGATAATGTTTATTGATATATTTGCAGACAGCTGAAAGGGTCCTTGCATCACACTGTGGTGATATAATCAAAGCACAGTTTTCTGGTAATGCTCCTTGTGGATTTTATAAATATAAATTTCCTACAGAATCCAGATCTGATGAGGCTGTTGGAGCAAAGGTAATACATGTTTTAGCTTAATTGAAAATTTAGATAATTAAGAGAGCAGTAATGCTGCTACTAGTAATTTTTAACAAAATGACATTGCAATTTACCAGACTACTTTGTCAACTATTTTGAATAGGAAAATGGATAAATTTATAAAACTATTCCAGTATGCCTTTTTCTTTGGAATTTTAAAATTTATTAAAGTTTGTTAGTCAGAACCATCTCCAAAATGCAGTAATTTCCTGCAGTGAAGATTGAATGGTGTACATTTCACCACAATGACTTTGTTTGGGGATTAGTTGCATTGTAATTACACTGTTCATAGCGACAGTTGGGGCTTGTAAAAATCACGGAATAAATATTTGTGCTTTGACAAATTTTCAAAAATGTTACTTTAATGTATTTATTGTTCCAAAGGTATTTTTCTACAAAGCCAGACTACTCGATGGCAACGTATTAGATGCCAATGATGTAACAGAAGACTATGTATGGGTATCAAGCAAAGAACTTCCACACTATCTCAAGCCAAGTTATATGAAATCGATAGAGCAATTTTTGATAGAATAACTTATCAACTTCATTTTTTTTCTCTTCTGTATATTATTTTAAGTTTAATAATAAAAACACAATGAAAACTGTCTTTAAAGTGTTATGTAGGGATGATCATCAGCAGTAATGATTTGTGTTTTTAGTCCCCGTTCGGACGCAGTCTGAAAACGGGGACTTATGTTTTGACCTCCATGCGTGCGTGCGTCCATGTGTGCGTCCGGACCTGTATCTTAGAAATGCCTGGACCAATCACAATCAAACTTCACACATACATCATATATGATATTATACATATGCACGTCAATTTGTTTCACGTTCTGATTCAAGATGGCCGAATTGCGGCCATTTTTGTGCTAAAAATCATCAAAATCAAGCATTTCTCGAGTGTTTACAGATGGATTTTGTTCAAACTTAGTATATACATTAGACATTATAGGACCTTGATGCACATCATTTTGTTTTATAATCTGATTCAAGATGGCTGAATGGCGGCCATTTTTGTGCTGAAAAATCCTAAAAATCAAGCATTTCTCGGCTATTTACAAATGAATTTTGTTCAAACTCGATATATACATTAGACATTATGGGACCTTGATGCAAATAATTTTGTTTTTCAGATAAGATTCAAAATGAACAACTGGCGGCCATTTTGTTTCAATGAATGTGGTTCTCGTGCCATATCTCTGACTTGCTTTCACTGATTATATTCAAATTTTATATATTCGTTATACATCATGTGATATATATACATGTATTCAAAATGGCTGATTTTGAATGCTGTTCCAAAGCAATATCTCTAAATATGGACAAGTACTTGTTTGATGATCAGATACAAATGTCAATCATTTTAATGTTAAAAAACCATATTCCTGACATGGTTATATTCCAGCTATATTACTATAAACAAAACTATATTTCTTAAATGTAATAACTAACGGGGACAGTGCCATGCATGGCTTGTTCTGTTAGCAGTGTTAGAACAAATTATGCACTTTATTTTTGTCATAATCCAACTGACTGACAACCAGTGGCCATATTACTGCCTATAACTCAAACTGATTCGAAATTAGTGTTGACCTGTGACCCACATTTACAATTTGTTACGCATGAGGGCTGACTGGTAGAGAATAATGCTAAAATACGTTTCTCAATCCGACCAAATTTGGCTGTCAGTTTGACGAACGTTTTTTTTTTATAGACAGTGCTTCTTTATTAGTATTTTCGACCTATTTAAAACAGCCAGTGACGTGCATTTATATTCATCATGTAGAATTTGTTTGTTAATAAGGTTGTTTAATGTCAAAATTGCAAGGCCATATTGCTTTGAAATCAGTTATGTTACAATGGCGACAAGAAAGTAAGATTTGTAATTTTGACATTTTTTTTTAACTTGTTACTTTCCGTGCATGTGATGATTTCGTGATATGGTCAAAAATGGCTGTTTGTTGTAAAAAACCACTAAAATATTTTAACATGTCTAGAACCAGCACCAACTCGCGTGTTGACCAATTTACTTAAAACTATTATAGGCAGTTAATGGACCTCACTTTCATTTGTCAACTCAAGATGGTTAAACTGACGACCTTTTTCTTTTCCAGACAAACGTGCTCTGAAGAAATTCACTTCCAAATTTAATACCTAGATTGCCCATCATAACATACAATGGCCGACAAATGGCCGACTGCCAACCGTTTTAGTTGTAAACAAAACTATTAAGATCAGGTATTTTGACATGTCCAGACCTTGGGCAAGGATTGGATTTTCTTCATACATAGTGATAGAAGTAACCATTACTGGAGATTGATGCACGTCACTAGAATGGCTTGCTCAATCCATCTATCAGGTCACTCAAATACTGCATACCGATATGCACAATTCTTGAAGCTGTAAAATAGCTATGTAAAAAATGTTCACTATGCACAGAACTAGGAGCTAAATTATCTTTAAATGTGTACATTTTTAGCTCAGCTGTCAACTTTATTGAACAGTGCTTATCCTATTACCGTTAAATCTGTATTAGAAGCCGCATCTCTAATACAAGTCGCACCCATTCTTTTTGAGCATACGTGTAGATGCTCTAATTGAAGCCGCATTCCTTCTGTTGCATTGTACCATTTTAATAAAAGCTGCAGCTTCTATTAGAGTACAGTAGTACATGTACCTTGGGTAGACGTTAGATTTGTTCATTTGTGATTGCTTTGATATTATACATATAGGTACCTCAGGTGGACCTCTCTCAGATTTGTTGATTTTGTGATACCAGTATCTTCAATTCTCTAATTGGAATGTGTATTACTAAGGGAGAAGTTGCCTCGGCAAAGAGACTGAACACCAATCATAATGAATAGGAACCTTAATACTTGTGTGCTATGCTGTTGACATTTGTTTTCTTGCTGTAAACATATTCAGTCTCATGTGTAACAAATGCATCTCCATAGGGGGAAAAATACCACGATATGCAGATTTTGACTCTGCTGTTTTACTCTAGGATACACAACTTCATAACAATTCTATATACTTGTGTGCTATGCTGTTGACATTTGTTTTCTTGCTGTAAACATATTAAGTCTCATGTGTAACAATCTCCATAGGGGGAAAAATACCACGAGGAGCAGGTTTTGACTCTGCTGTTTTACTCTAGGATACACAACTTCATAACAATTCTACATACTTATACATTGCTGTAGTTACATGGTTAAGAAGCATTTTGTAATGTATCTATGTATCTTTCGAAGAGTTTCAAGTCATTCACACAGATTGGGGTATGGAAAATTTCATGGGCTGAGCAAATCATTATTGAAATATTTACTCTGCGATTCTGTTGCAAGATATTGAAAAAGCAAAATGTGGTATTTGCAATTAAAATTCTAATGCAGCAATGCAAGCAATATGGCAAATTTGCATAATACACGATAAACAAATTTTGATACATTTTCTTAGCCACGTGTGCATGCAATGTCATTTCTTCGACATGCCAGATTTTGTTCAAAACTGGTAGAAAAACATGTACATATGCAGGTTGACAAGTATTTCAATCCTGTAATCCTGTTTTAAAACAAGACATGAATGTCACAGTCCCCATTATTTAATTATAAAATACATGGAACATCTGCAAACAATTGAATTAATATGTACTCGATGTAGGTACAACTCAAAGTGATTTCCCTTAATCTGATAACTGAAAACTTTCATTGACTCAGAGTACACAAGTGCAACCAAACTGTCTCGTACATGCTCAAGAAACTGCATTCATAAATCTGAGTAAACCTTGATGTAACTTTAATAACAACTTGATTTTGTTAAGGTAGCAAGACTATTGTTTGTGTTGAAAATTACGATTTTTCACATTTATTTATTATTTGGTGAAATGCACTATAAACTTTCATCTGATAAAGTCAACGTAACCTAGAATGTCATGCAAGTTGGTTAAAATATAGATTTTCTGAAGGGAAGCAATGTAGCTTCAGTCATGTTTTCCAAAATCAACACAGGTTTAATCTATTACTACGTTCACGTTACGGGATCTCGGCACGTGCCGAAATTTTTAATCCGTTGTGTTTGCAGAGGGATTACAGCAGTTGTGTTTACGTTATTCAGGACCCACTTAGGACCGACTGGACTCGTGCCGAAATCACGCTCTCATTCGTCGATCTGTTATTTGGCCCAAACATGGAAGATGATACGCATATGATGATAATAATAATTGTTATAGTGAAATTATATCCATTTGTTGCTATGGTGTTTATTACGAGCCATCGTGCACATGGACGGCAAAGAAGATTCGAAATACAATTATTTTGTTCACATCAATGTAAAATGTGCAAGAAAATAGAGGTTGTAGCAGCACATAAATATGCGTCGCTGATGACGGTTTGCATTCATTACTACAGCATTCGACCATCTACTAGTATATCCGAATTTCCTGTCATCGTCATTTCATGCTAGTATCAATCAACTTATGTTTTTCTTAAATTTACCACCGAGGGCGTGATTTCGGCTCGTGCCGAGCGTTCAGGCAGCAAATCTCGGCACGTGCTGAGTTTCGGTCCCAAGCATCTATCGGGACCGAGATCGAGTTCTTTTCGGCACGTGCCGACTCGGTCCCGACCGTTCACACTCAATATTCGGCACATGCCGACTCGGTCCCGAGTCTCGGAACGTGCCGAGATCTCTAACGTGAACGCCACTTATGTGCCTACAAGTTTCAAAGATAAACTCAAAACAAAGCAATGTTAAGATGTGTTATCAGTAGCTATCTATCACACAATTAGTGTTTCCAAACATTTGAGTGGTTTGTCTCCGCCCCTGTTTATTTCACAGATTAGTCATTTGCATATGAATGTGTCAGACACAAGGTCACACAGCCACTGAAAAAAATCATTGATTTTGGTGTTTTCATCTGCCGATTTTATCGAACTATAGCTATCCTATTCCTTTATTTTGTTGGTTTCCAATAGCCTTACACATTTGGATGCCCCTACACATGGTAAAACAGACCTTGATGGGAAAACAAGTCGCTTGTGCAGATAAACAAGCTTGAAAATCTTTGCTGTGACGTCGACGTTTTCTAAAAGTTTGTTTTTCAAAATACAAGGTCTTTAACAAAAAATAACGTATACTTATTGTCATCTGATTAACACCAAATTTTCACAGCTTTAAGGTGACAATGAGAGGAACTTGAATGTGTCCAGACAAACTATTTCATGGATTATTTACCAATGTGTTGTGGTTTGAGTTGGGGGCAATGCGACTAAAACAAAAATTAAAATTCAGGACACTACTTTTTAAAACGAGTTGCTTGAATAAAACTGACCAGACACATTCAATTTACCAGACTATTGAACAACTCTGAAAAGTGAAAAAAAAACTTCTAATCACCAGCATAAATGCGCAATTATTTTTTTTACAAAAAAAGTAATTTTTCACTTTTGATTAAGTAACGCACCGTGGAATGCAGATACGGACATGGCAAACACACCTTTGAAAAGCTTGAAGTCTGGCGATTCCAAAAATATATACTTTCCTGGGTCTATTTGTGGTCATTTGGTCACAATTAGAATATGAAAACAAGTATGCAAATAATAGTCCCGCTATCTTAATTCGAAACTTTGTATATTAACAGGACCTGGGTTTGTTTCATTATCACCACTAATTCCCATCAAAATATAGCCCTGACACCCTCATGACCATCTGTCATTCAGATCAAGACAGAACTAAAAACCTTAGCATTACAGACTAAGCTAATTATTTATTCTGAGCATGCTGAGTTGCTGTCAGTGCAGTAGGTAATTTTGGATGAAAATCTTGAAAAAAAACAAAACATTTAGGATTTTCAGATCTGGGAAAAAAAAATTACGTGCATATTCGGCAGACTTGTTCATCATCCTGCCAAGTTTATCAGGTTAATTATTAGTTTCCAAGTTTCATTACAAGTTGATTGTTTTGTCTTAAGGTTTTGCTAACCGGCTTCTTGCAGTCCTCATTTTGTCATAGATAACACACAATATTAGTGTGGGGAGAAACCCAGCATGTGTGCACTTGGATATTGTTACACCATAATCTAAGAATTATTGCCCATACAGCAATTTTGGAAACGCTCCCATTACGATGATACAAATCCGGTTTTTAAACACGTACATATTGATTACCTGTTAACATATATTAGCCAGTTATAATTGCAACATGATGTGCGAGATTTTTAAGCAATCTATGCATGAGAAAGGGTTGAATAGTTTTACATCAAAGAATACTTCAAAGGGAGGGGGCTTGCATTCTGTTTTATCATACATAAAAACACTCTAGCACATTCTGCAAGTTTGTTTGATGTAACTTTTATTTTTACACCCACCACAGAAGATAATTTAGCAATATTGTAAAGCTTAAAAATACATTATATTTACAGAAACAAACTTGACTCCTAGAAAACAAATACATAACTATGGTAGGTAATAGTATTTTTATAGGAAACCTAAAAAATGTTTAAAGTTTTCTCATATTGCTATCAATCATTCTAAACTGTTAGTTTGATGGGAGGGTAAAACAGTAAAAGGTACCATGCAAATATTTATTCTCATAAATATCTATACATGATCAGGAATCCACATGACGTTTTTCGTTAAAGTATAAAAAAAATTAATCTTCAGAAAGTTCTTCATATCTTTGTTGCATCATTTTTTTGACAGTCTCTTTGTACGAGTCTGTTGCTGTACTTCCATAATTACTCCCTCTCATTCCCAAACCAGCTCCTGCTGTTCTTTTGTTAACCTGCAGGATTAGAGAAATTATATCAACACTGTAAAACAATAGCCACATAAAAATGTGAAAATATGCACTTGTGTGACAAATTTGAACTTACCTCAATTATATCTTTTCGTCCTTGTCTCTTTCTACCCAGACCAGTACCTTCACTCCAACCCATGGCCTGTAACATTTTATTTCCAATGTTATCCATACCAATACCTGTCTTTGTGGGTTGTTCATAGTCACTGAAATAAAAATGTTATAACAACTTTGTGTTATTTGGGGGCAATGTAATAGTAGGAGATTTTTAAAAGCAAACCACCTTCACAAATACATTGAGATGCACCTTGTTTGAAGCCTGTTAAGTTATATCTTAAAGACCTTATGGAACAAGTCCTAGTACTGTACTTAAACGGGTAAGAGCCCATGCCTGGACAAACACCCCCCCCCCCCCCCCACTTTTGACACAATAAAGAAATTGAGGTCATATCTGGGCACACGCCCAGGGGGTCTTTTTCTACACAAAAAAAAAAAAAAAAATAATTTTCTATTCGTTGACTGTGGTTGTATTAACAGTCGACTTTCTTGAAGTCTGTCATGATGCTTGTACAAATTCTTTAAAAATAATTGTTAATTGCGTAAAACAAGGGGGGGGGAACGCGAAATAGCTAGGACAGCTTTTTGCCTTCAGGGCAGTGCGTTCACTGCTGATTTTTTTTAGAATCATAACAGTCAGCAAGTCTATAAAAATATATATTAAAGCAGAAACGGTAGTTCTCTTTTTGAAATATTTGGTGGCCCTAAAAAGGCCGGCGGTTTGGTTTGTGCTTCCTTAGAAACAATTCAAGCAAATCGTATAAGGAGAGTCGCTAACAAGTTTAGCAATGTCACGATTTGACCTTTATGATGAAATACTAGTAGTGATGTCATTCTTAGCCAACCAGTAAAGCAGATACATATAGGTCAAAGATGATTGCCAGACTGTAAACAAAAGCATCATGTGCCATCGCACCAGAGCGACCCCATTTTTCTTGTCTCTATTATGATTAGACATGAATGAAAAGTGCCAAGCTGACAGACTGCGAAATCCGTGGATTAAAAGTCCAAATTGTGTGGGAAGATATCAGCGAAATTCAGGAATAAGTTGTAGGGATTTTGTTCGACAGCTACAGTGACGCCGACTTGGACTTTGAGGGTTTTGAGTTTTGGCGAAGATGGCAATGAACATACAAATAAAGATCTGGGAAGTTTTTTCAAACAGCTATGATTTTTTTATAATTTTTACTGTGTAATTTTGTAAATTATTATTGAAATTGTATGACGGTTGATTCGTAATTTGTCGAGACCAGAAATCATTTTACACAGTTTAACCCCTGACATTTTAATTCAGTTTGAGTTCACGTGTATTGGGCATGTTTGTCGGCGGGAAAATCCTAATTCAAATGATTCCGCACTGTCGATTTTTATATTCCCTGCCGCAGTTGGATCTGCGAATTTTCACTTTTTTGGCTGGGGATCTCCTAGCAAACGCCCACCCCTTATTTTTGGCAATTTTCCATGTTCAGGCTTATACCCGGATAAATACGGTAGTTTTTAATGTAAGGTTATATTGCATAAATAAACATCTACCGTACATTTATAAGATCCTGTTTCCAGACTTAATGTTCGAATATGACTAATAAAAATTGTGTCACTATGGTTTTTTGTATATAACAAAGCCAGAAACTATGACCATATGCTGACATCTGCATAAACTTGCCAGTAATTGTTCCATCACTTACATGATTGGTTCTCTACGCTTCCGCTTTTTAGGTTCAGGGGGTTCTGGTACACCATATTTCTCCCTTCTTTCCTTGGCTCTGTCTCTGTATTTAGCCTAATAATGTAATTAAAATATCATTAGTTGTGGGTGTCAATCAAGTAAAACATGTAAAATACTTGTTGCAGGTGAATACAGTTTCCATTTTTGGCTGGCACAATTCCTTCAGAGTATCTGCAAGCATATTTTGGGTTGCAATTAAAAATAAAAGCTGCCTGTTTATATTGAAAAGTGTCAATCCCAATCTATATGTAGTTGCATGTATAGTTTATTACGACTTTTTTTTGATATACAAGCTATCCATGATCTAACAGTATTAGTTTGAATTACTGATCTTTCTTTCATTACACTTACCTCCCGTTCTTTTCTAGCAAGGGCATCTAATTCTTTAGCACTCATGTTACTTCTTTGCCACATTTCTAAATTTTGTTTGTGTAAATCAGAGAACTGTACATGTTTCATCAGGATTTCTTTTGATGAAAACTGGCGCTTGCAGAGATTACACGTTAGTTTGCTTAAATCAGTATGAATGGTTAAATCTTTCAACTCTGCCTCATCTTGTTCTTCTGATTCACTGTCACTTCCACCGCCATAAGATGCAACAATTATTGGTGCTGGTGGTTGATGCTGCTGGTTCAGTAGAGAAAACAAGTTAGTGAAAATGTCATTCTCCATTGCTACTTTTTTGTGAGCTAAACAGAAGAAAGCAATGACCTATTTAAATGTGTGTGGTTAGTACGATGACAGGGTGGTGTTACATTATGTCAATTATTTATTGGACTGTTACTCATGACAGATGTGATAAGATAAAATATCATGCACGACTAAGATCCCGTTCTGAAATGGCAGAAATGCTTGATTTTGATAAATTTTTAGCCCTATTTTTAGGCTACCATTCGGCCATCTTCAATTTGTTTGTGATGTGTATGTAAAATTTGAAAGCGATTTATCAAGGCATATCCAATATACAGGTGTGGATGGGTGAAGTTATACTGTTACTGATAAAATTTTATTCAACAACACAATAGATGGTTTTGTTGATAGGTTTCAACATTTTGAGAAACACAGTTCTTGAGATATAAATTAAACTTTGTGATAAATGTGTAGTACAATTTACCAGTAATCATGGCAAACAAGCTTACATTGATTTATTGTCCCATTTTCAAATACCTGTTGACAAATAACTCCTTAAACTGAGAAATTATTCTCATCGTTGTATTCACAAATTTAATTACTCAACCACCCTTATAAAGACCACTTGTCTAGAAAGGACTATTCCTTTAAGTACCTTAGGTGGTTGCTATACACAGGTTTGACTGATATGAAAGTTAGAAAGATGACATTTCACTGAGATAACATTTGAAAACAATCTGGACTGATTTACCAGCATTAGTCACCTACCATTGGTATGGAAACTGCCTTCTTCACAGTGTCTACTTCTTTCATTCTTTCTAGATTTCTCTATATGAAAAAATCAATTTCAAATTCTTGATCACTCAAAGTTGTACAATTGATTTGAGTGCTCCGTATTTAGTTTTCTACTTGCCAGTTTATAAAATAGCAGTTACTATTTGTGGTCAGGTAATAAATATCACAATAATTACCTTCCATTCCATGACAGCAAATCCAGCATCTGCTGAGGCAGAGCTTTTTTCTGTGTCCGCACTGCTTGCATGTGACCTCTTCCCTGCACCTCCATGACCCTCTTTTGTTTGGTTCAGACTCTTAGCCCATCTTTCCATGTCTTTGGCAATCTGTAACAGTAGAAGTGATGGAAAGGTCAATCAAAAAATGGAGGCTTTATGGACTCGGTTCAAATTCGGCCAAGAATTTTGAATACTTTTGTTTGAATAATGTACTGGATGTGTAAATTATGAATATAAAAATACAGGTGTATACTGTCAATACATGCAAGTCTCAGAAGTAGCACAACATTTTGTTATACAGGTTATTTTATATTTTGTAAAATACTTTATTTTCACTCAGAATTTATTTATGCTGTGCTATGATTTAGTGAAAATAAAAATCAATGAATAAACTATTTTTTCCACTATTTTACATTCAGCTCATCAAAAAATCAGTGAAAATAAATTCCATGTAAAACACCCAAAAATTCTTTTCAGCAAAAATTAATTCCAAATAAAATACTTTACAGTAGGACAGTTATGTACAATGTAAATGCATGTACAGAAAACATAAGACAAGTCAGACCAGGTGAGATTATTACATGTGCTCATGATATATATCTACAGTAAAAAGCATAGTTTGACATACAGATAGTTTGTATTTTTCAATTAAATAAGCCAAAATAAAGGAGTGTTTAGACAAAACACACTGATTCAAAGAAAGGCAGAGACAATTAATGTAGCTGGTAATTATTATATACATGGATGAGGTTGGTTAGTCTAAATGCAACATCACACTAGTCACTGCCCAATTTTGATAAACACTCTTCCAATTTGATGACATAATATTCTTATTGATGAAGTCTAATTATTGTTCTATGAATACACAACTGTTGAGCTGAATCAATTTCCGCTGTACGCAATGTGGATGCAATTGGCCCATTATGTATCTACAAAATCTGAACAAAATCAATCTATGATCCTATTTCACAGAATGGTAGAAATACTCTATTTTGGAACATTTTCACAAATAGCTACCATCCTGAATCCAACTGGTAGGAATGCATGTACATATTTTTCACCACTGAAAAAATACTAAAAGTATTTACCTTTTTAGCAGATAATGTTTTTTCTTTCTTCACTTTCTCTTTTTCATCTGTATCAGCTGGCTTTGTTGGCGTGGGGGCAGGTGGTGGTTTTGGATCGGATTGTGAATCAGGTGCTGGTAAATATGTTGACTTTGCAGCATCCCAATATAAATACTGACCAGTCTGGCTGTTATAATAATACTGCGTATGTGATACAGAGAGAGATATTCAGAAAATAGATGAGCATTGTCTATACATGTACATGAATACATTTATATAGAGGATTAGTAGTTTGTTTATCACATAAATAAGTTTGGGTTGCAAAAGTCAAATTTAAGAGAATTAATTACAGTATAAATATGTACCAGTACACCTACTTCATATGTCAATATTTCAATAACATGTATACAACATCCCATATGGGAGTTAAGTTAAGCATACAAAGACGTTAAAACAACCAGATAAGACAGCAGCATATGAACAACACAAGGAACAGTTGAACTGTTTACCTTTGAATTAGCATCATAATGTAAACTTGTTGTTGGATCATAGTAATATCCTGACGCAGGATCATATTGATACTTGGAGACATCAGGCGTAGGATATTTAGCATGAAGCTCGACACCACCACTATTGCTATTATTACTCTCTTGACTAACGCATCTCTGATACACAGGTTGCTGTTGTTGCAGCTGCTGCTGCTGAACTAATTGTTGTTGTTGCTGAAATTGTTGCAGCTGCTGTTGTTGATTTTGTTGCTGTAAAAGTTGTTGCTCAAAATATTGTTCACTGTGAGCTTTTGTTTTATTGGACTTCCTCCTTTTATCTTTTGCGTTATTTTCAGAGTGCTGAGTCTGCTGAGTCCACTGTTGAGCTTCCATTTTGAGACGTTCCTGAGGGGTAAGTGCAGCAAGCTGCTGATGCTGCATCTGAGCTACAATATGTTGCTGCAGTTGTTGCTGTTGCACCTGATGCTGCTGTGCCGCTGCTACTTGCTGTTGTGCAATGGACGCAATATCTAAAAAAAGAATGATAGGCATACGTAACCCAATTGAGAGCCTTGTCCAAGAATCAACTTCACTAAAATTGACAGATGCAATACAAATCCTTACCACCTAGCGCAGGCTGTACTGCGGCAGAAGCAGCCACACCTTGTTCTGCTAGCTGTTTATAATACTGAATGTAATCTTCATTTCCAGCTCCTTGTTGGTAATACGTTGAATAATCATACAGATTCTGCACTGCTCCCTGACCAAGCTGTTGTTGCTGCTGCTGCTGCATTGCAGCATTCTGAAGTAAACAAAGATTTATTAGTCTGTGCCAGGAACTTGCAAATTTGGTCTTGTGAGTGCGTTCATGACCACAGAGTGTAATATCTTGAACATGTAGACATATTTGTTCAAACATAAAATAGATCTAAAGTTTTTTTTTTCAAGGTCCTTATGCCAATCAAGTGGACAGTTTTGGGGGAAATGAAAACAAAAGAAATTTAATGTTGTTTTTGTTCTTGATATCCCCACATGCATACAAACAGAACAGACATGATAATTCTGTAAATAGACATGAATAAAAATTCTATTTAAATGAATATTGTTTTCATAAATAGGAATCAAAGAAAGCTTAGAAAGAACTCCCATGTGCTGAGAGTATTGGAGACACATTAAATATAATTCGAAATTACTTAGCTGAAAACTAATTATGCAAATCAGAAAATTAATATGACCAGATTTGAGTGTAAAACTAACGAGGTCTGCGTAATGTAACAGAAAATCTATGTCTCCAAGTTTAATTGAAATGTGATTAGAACCAAAAAATTATGAATTATTATGCTTATTAGGGAATTA